CCAATGAAGTATGATTAATTTTCCTCGACTCGTTTCTCTTAATTGCACTTACGGATTGAAAAGTCCTTCTCCACAATTAAAGTATCGACAACAACATAGGCTGCAAACTATAATTTAATACGAAAAATGAAAGAAAATTTAAGACTTACAGTGTTGTTATCGGCTTCTGTAGTCGACACATCACAATATGTGCTGCATACAAGAATTTCAGATTTTACTCGTTAAAGTAAGTAGCTTACAGCCTACAGAAAACCTCGAAAAACAATACTTCGGCTTCTGTAGTCGACACATCACAATATGTGCTGCATACAAGAATTTCAGATTTTACTCGTTTAAAGTAAGTAGCTTACAGCCTACAGAAAACCTCGAAAAACAATATTGTGCCTGTAAAAATGAGCTAGGAGCTTTAGCATAAGAGGAAAGAGTCGACAAAAATTTCGTTCGTATGCTACGAATAAAGTTGACGAGAAGCCATGACACCGAACACTATTTTAGTTGATCTCTTTCTAATAGCGTTTTTCACTGGCAGAGCTAGTGCGCACTCAGTGCACTTTAAAGCCGTTGTACACAAATCGACATAAAAATGTACATTTAATAAAAATTATATAGAAATGAATTAAACCACGAAATCCTTAATACATTTTATTGTGATATTTGATAAACTATACATTGGGTATTTTATTAACTGAGATTTCTCACTTTTACAGTCAGATTAGGTTAATATACAACAGCTTTAATGTGCACTGAGTGCGTACCGGTTCTGCCAGTGAAAAACGCTATAAGAGATGGTGTTGCAATATGTTAGATAAGGACAGATGAATGCGTTTGAGCGAGACACAACGATATATAATAATTATAAGAAATGAATGAAAGATGTCACTATTGGCGAATTTGGTCTTTAGCTGATAGATTCATATATTATGTGCTTCCTTGTGGTCTACGTTGCGTACTGCTGTGGTGGAAGCGCTGCTAGTCATGGCTTCACACGTGTTAATTCACTTACAAGTTAGTTTGATGTTTGTATATATTCTATTGCATAATTGTATATATTCTATTGTATATTTTATTGTATTTATTATATTATTGTTACGGCATATATATTATTGGCAGATTTGGACGTGAGCCGTCGCTGCATTCGGATTTCGGACGTGTCTCTCGATCCGCTAACCGATATTCTCGATCGTGTGCTCCGAGTGTGACGTGTGTATATCCTGCGCTGTTCAATAAACGCTTTTCGTTCCTTTCATACATCCCCTCGTATTGTTTATTTTCCGCGAGCCGGGAGCGCGTGAACGCGTTCGCAAAGGCGTCTTCACGATTCGGACACCGCGGACGTAACATTATATATGTATTTAACTCGATTGTTCTTATTTGTTCGTTATGCCAATTGTGATTTTTTCGATAAAATTAAATTTTGTATTCATTTTATTATTTTCCAAAATAAATTTCTGACATTTGTTTTAGAAATTTGAAATTATATTCGTGAAATAAATGATTAAGTAAGTGGACAGATTCGAAATATATTGGAGATACTTATATTTATACTGATATTCTATTATGCATTATATTGTAAAAGTTTGAACTTCCTAGCTTTTAATTTTTTTTTATTAATGTCATTATACGTCTGCTTTTTATGTATATGGGAGATGCAATAAATATCTTAGATAGATTATTTTTAGTATCAGCTGAAAAGGCTGAGAAATTATTGCCAAAGTGGAGTGATCGGACTGAATTATTTAATGAAAGAAGTATTTTGCAAGCTAACACTTCAAAGACTTTAGTTCATGAGGTACAAGGAAAGAATATTTCAGACTTAGTGCAAATAATTATGTATGCAGAATCAAATTGATTTTTTATGTCTTGTGGGTGTGTATGTACGTATTTTTGTTATAGGTTGATGAAATTGCAAATTGTAGTTTGCCACTTGCAGATATTAATACAAATAATACTTCTAATACTGTGACTGATCCTCTCCAATTAAATAATACGGTAAGTATACACATGCACTCACACACATACGCACATTTTAACTTTTAATCTTGTAAAACCAGCAGCTAACTAAATTCTTGTGGTATTTAATTAACATTGCAGGAAACACGTGAACAGACAACCCTACTGCAAATTGCCATGGGCTTTTTCATGAACAGACAACCCTGCTGCAAATTGCCATGGGCATTCCTATAGAGGACTATAAGATTCTGTAGGAGTTGTGTAGTTACCTATAGGATTTGCGCAGCGTGCATAGGTATACGTAAAACATTCATAGGAATATAAATAGGGTAGGGTAACTCCGGTATATACGCCGCGCTGGGATTTACGCCGCGGAAGTTAGAAAAAATACAAGGGGTAGGGATAATTTTCTCGCAACTACTCTGTTATATGCCTTTATGTTATATTAATATTGAGTTATAATTTCAGCTTCTTACTGTTAATATTAATGAAATTATAGTGAGTTGAATCGATTTGTCACCGTGTGTGTAACAAGCATCATCATAAATTATAATCTACATAAAATGATTACTGTAAAGCGTGTAAAAGACCTAGTGATTATTTCGTGATACATACGTGTAGAGGAATAGTAAAGCATGTTGTATAGCAAAATACAAGTTCTTTGCTTTCGTATTCTCTCTTTGTTTAGTTTGTTGAAACCCTTGCATTTTTGCCATATATCTCACCCATTATCTATATATAGCAAAAATTATAGCAAGATTTCAAAAATTTTATTTTTTAATACGAAAACTAAATATTTCGGATTTCTAATATTTTTTCATTGTAGTAGACAGTACAAAGTTTTTACTGATATAGTTCGTTTATTTTAAACATAGTAAATAATACTTAATAAATTAAGATTTTTTTTTTATAGGTGCGGCGTATATACCGGAGTTACCCTAATAGAGGTACCTACAGGAATGGGTACAGATGCACCATGAGAACTAAAAGGTCTATAGGATACCAACTTATTTGGAAGCGAAGAAATTGGGCATTAGGCTGTTAACATTCTCTGATCAACTCTGTTGCCAGTTTGCCGACATTCTGTTAACATTTTACTTACGGAATAGTCTCTGTTTGAAAGTTGTCTTTTTGGCCTCAGAAATAGCAGATAGCATATAGCAGACTCTGCTCAAAATCTGTTTCTTGCAGGCTTAACTATCTGTACTGTCATTTTTCAAATTGAACTTTAATTCAAATGAAGAAAGGTATATCTATAATATAACGTTTCAAACAAAGCATATATGTATACAGGGTGTTTGGAAAATAATGATAAATCTTTCGCATAGGGGCAGAATGAACTAAACTGAGAAGAAAAGCCTTCTACCATTTTGCAATTTGCGCAATAGTTAATAAGATATTAATTACTAAAAATTGCCGAAAATTGGTCTTCAATAATTTTTTATTCAAATACTATCCACTTTACAGAAAAATTGCAAAAGGAAAATATTATTTATTTTCTTCTCATAAAACTCTACGAATTCTTTCAGAATTTTTTATCAACTTTTTAATACTGCATTTTCTCATTTTTACCAACATGAGAAAATACGATGTTAAAAAGTTCTGAAAAAATTCTAAAAAATTCTAAAAAAATTCTTAGAGCTCTATGAGAAAAAATAAACAATTTTTGTTTGTAATGTGGTGTACTTTTCGTTAGCGAAGTATAAAACATATCATACGTTATTCAAATCGATGGGAAGGATAGTGGGAATCAGGAATATTGTCATACCTGAAGAACGGCAAAAAGTTGAGGGGCCCTGCGACTCCAATGTGCTTGACTCCTTCCTCTTGCAAGTGTCTCAGCCATTTCCATACCTCGTCGTCTTCTTTGTAAACTTTACCAAACACCAGGTCGTTCAACATATTACCCAAGTAATGATGAAGCGTCTCGCATGGATCAATACCATCTTCCATAGTAAATCTTTTCAGTTTCTAAGATATCAGTAAAGGACTCAAATAGTATGCATGTCCAAAATCGAGACATAAGATGTTTTAAAAGCGTCTTTAAGAGCAGTATTCATAGTTCTTATATTTAAGACCGTCTTAAGTACAATCTTGTAATATAAGTCAATCACAAAGCCGTATTAAAATCGTAAAATATTACCTAAGACAGTCTTAAGAAAAGAACGAATTAAGATATCTTGTGATATAGACTACGGTCCACTTGATACAAATGCTTAAAGCGAAAACAACGGTTTCGCCAAAGAGTATCTAAAAATTTAGCTACAGATCTAAAAATAATTTTGTTAGACTATCAAAATAATTATGTAGGACGTTCAGCTGATTGCTAAAATGTCAACACTTTTTGTATCATTGCTCATCATGTTCAAGTTTTCTGCATAATTATTTTAATGTTTAATAAAATTATTTTCAGATCTGTATCTAACTAAATTTTTAGATATTTTAGTTACTTATATTCTTCTTTTCGTGTAGCATTATATATAAATGGACTGCATAATGTCTAAAAAACATCTTTAAGACGTCTTTTGTCCAGATTTTGATTGTCGAGGAAGGTATTACATAATTATTCTCAGCTGCTTCATTGTCCATATACTTTTAGTTAACGCGGAATGATTTTGAAAAACACATTTGCAATACTTCAAATTCATGTTCTTATGTTTGTTTTTAACGGTCAATTAAAATTTTTCTTTCGATATCATACATGAGTGCTTGTTTTTATGTTAAGCAAAAACGATGGCATCAAAATGTCACAAAAATTAATAGCTTCATTAAATGCGATGACATTTCCAGATAAATAAATGTTAACTTGTAGTTGAATATTCCTTCTGAAATGAAATGTTCGGTCATCGACATACTCGTTTAGGGGCAGATTTAGTGACATGACGGCCTTGTGTTAAATACCCTAGACATTAAATTTACCGACGTGCACTCGTTCACGGTCGCAAGGATTCTTTCCTCCAGTCTGTCCCTCTTGGTGCCGGGTAACTTCGTCATACCGAAATTCTTCAGGCATCCGGCTACAAATCTTCTTTGGTTTTTCCAAAGGTTACCCTCGGCGCAAATAAGGCCTGCAAAGAACATAAAGAAATAAGAGGTAATAAGAGTCTCGGTCAAATTTCCTCTTTCCTCTCTCATTTTATTTCTTAGTTCTTCCTTTGCACGAAGGTGATCCTCGTCGCACCTTAATCGCGCGGCCATAAATAAACCGCCACCCAAACGTGCCTCCGTCGCGTTCCCTCTTGTCGTGTGGAGGTGAGCCACGCTTGGTGGGAGGGTGTAAAAAATAGCGAGAGGATTACCGTCATTCCGTAAGTAGGCGCAGCCACTGAACTCGCCGAAGGATAATCCTCGAATGAATAAACAATAATCTCTCACCGCACCCACTCACCATCGCTCCCTTCGGCGTGCGCGTGTTCACGACATAAACCAGACACGGCAGTCGTCGATTAATAGCAATCGCAATCGTTGATTAGATATCACAGCGATAGTCTTCATCTTTAGACTCAAGCCAATATTCTTAGTCGGATCTTATACTTAAGACCATCTTAAGTATAGTCTTAAGATGTCATAAGCCAATCACAAGAACCGTATTAGCATTTTAAGACATTACATAAGACGATTTTAAAATAAGAACGGACTATGAATACTGGCCATTATGATAATAGATTATGTCTATATTCATAATCCGTTCTTACTTTAAAATTGTCTTAAAAGTAATGTCTTAAGATGCTAATATGACTCTGTTCATTGCCATTGACATTATTTGCTCATTTTCTTTTATTTTCCAACTATCGTCGTTTATCTCCTTTGATTGCATTTTTTTCCAATCTCTCTTTTTTCGATATGTACATACATGCATGCATGTATTCCTTTTCCTCATTATATTTATCTTGTATTTATTTTTTTCAAGTAAAAAACATAAAAACTATGATAATAACAACTGTATATAAAGAGATTTCAATATGAATTTATGGATCCCCTGTTCACTTATCACTACTATCTCAAAGTATGACAGAACCAAGAAAACGCACAATAAAAATCTTGCAGATTATATTAAATATAAATATTTTTCATTAAAATAACATTTTTAATCGATAGAATTTTCAAAATATGTTCTTCTTTCTGAGAAAAATTGAATCATATTTCTATATATTATTAATTTGACAATAAAATTAATTTGTCATAACTGTGATCGGTATTCATAGTCGGTTCTTATTTTAAGACCGTCTTAAGTAAGGTCTTAAGATGCTAAGACTCAAATGCTCTCTGGACAGTATTCATAAGCTATTCTTATTTTAATAAGAAGATCAGATGATACTAGAGAGATAATGAAAGTATTATTAATATAAAAAGATAAGACTTCGCGCCGAAGTTTGCATCTGCACTACAACGATGAAGGTATGTCGCTTATGTAGGTACATTTGCTATATCAACTTTGTAGCCAGATCACACGCGAGTGTCGCCGGCGCGAGAATGATCTCGGAATCTTGATCATCGGTCAATGAGATTATCAAGGTTTACGGTCGACGTGCCACAGGAATACAGATCGAGATCTATGGCGCGTAATTTGTCAGATAGTATCTCGTTGGATCCTACTCTCTTTCTTTATGTTATGCGCGAATTGATAGCCTTATCAATTACATAAAGAGAAAAAAACGAACGAGAGTAAGTACATATACAGCAAAATTGCGATTTTTAATCAATTGTTGTAGAAAACGGAATCCGTTTTGATTTTTGGTCGCGCATATTTCCAAGAAACTTCTTCTTTAATTAATGGCTCCCGCCTCCAAATAGTAATAGGAGGTCGATACGACCAGATTTCCAAGGAACGAAAGCGAATCGGGAGAGACGAGTACTTCTGCGAATTTAGAATTCGTCATGTTACACGTTCGAGAGCGACGAGCATCGAGAGAAGAAATAATGAAAGTCTGCTGGGATATAAACAGGTCACCGCGCGATGCGTGTTTGCGATACTATTTATCATTCGCAGCTTGTTCTAAGAGGCAGCTCTGTCGATAGGTCAGTGTCGTATTTAAATGAACGCCAAGAAAACTTTCCGGGATCACAGGTGCGCCACGTGCATTAATATGTGCATTAATCTCTCTTCGCTGCTTGATCGAAATAATCACGTTCGCACGAAGAAATAAAATTCACAACATATAACTAAACTTTCCATCGAATGAATTTTCTTTGCGCTGTATATATCTTATCTAAAAGATAAATATTACATCGTATGTTACAGTTTTCATTGTTCGTTTGTGTTGTATTAATTAACTTTCTTAATTATTTGATTATTTGTCACAGTATTTAGATCACTTGTTTCTACTGATGTAGATTAATTTTAATTTCAGTTTAACTTATATTTTTTTATTTTATATAAATTTGTACTAAAAATATTATTTAAGCATTAAGATCTAGTTTAAACCGTTGAGGCTTTTGTTATTCAGTTGTATATTCACTTTTTAAGACACTATTTACTTTTTATCTTTTTCTAGTTCTGAGAGTTACAAAAAAATAAAGGGTAAGTTAAACCTAAATTAATCTATAGCATTTGTAGAAATAAGCATCAATATATATATAAATCGAAGTAATTTAAAGATTATTTATTGCCTTTTTATTTTATTTCAAAGCTTTGAAACAAAAGAATAAATATCTAAGTAACAAAATATATTGCGTTTCCTTTATTTTTAGAAATTGATTGTTCCAGTAATATATTGCTAGGCTGGATGCTAGATATTATGAATTTTTTGCAGAAATGAGAAATGTTTAAGAAGAAAAAGGTATGAAAGAAAATGACTAAATGGGAAAGATTATATGTACAATGTAGACAATTCTAACATTGTAGTACGCACGCTTGTTTTTCATCCTCGCATCTGCAGCAGACGGAGCGGTGAAAAGGAGGGAGACTACGGACAATGAGCTCTCCTTGCCGGTCGATTCTTACGCAACTAAACACCCCGCCGCGGTGATTTCAGGGGATGACATCACTCGGGTACAGGTACGGCGTGGAGAGGAGGCGCTCACCACGAATTCGCGAACCGCTAGAAATAAACCGGAGACGGATAATGCATATACACGCTCGAACGTTTCAGGGCCGGTCATTCCACCTCGACCGGCAAAAAGTCGGCGAGCGTGTGCAGTGTGAGATGAAGGCGACGCGGGATAGTCGTCCTATCCAAATACAGTCGATCGATCGATCGTGCATTTTATGGCGCGCTATTAAAATGCCACGATAGCTTTGTCGGCCAGTTGAAAAGTGCGACTATTCGGTAATGATCCTTTGCGAGTGTCCACGACCGAACTATGCACGAGATTCCTGAGGCTGGCTGCGCGAATCTTATATCTTCCAGCATCAGGAAGATATAAGATCTCTTATATTAAATATAAATAAGTATATATCTTAAATCAAATTAAATAAATATAATAAATAAATAACAAATAAATAAATATAATAAATAAACAATTAAATATAATACAAATAACAATATGTACCTTTCTTAGATTTCTCTTAAACCGTGTATCAGTTATATCAACTTTTCTGCCTAGTAAATAATTCAATATCCTTATCACACTGATAATTCTGAACAATTTTCTGATTGCAAGAGTCGATAGAGAGAGAGATGAGTCAGGATAATTGTCGAAGGAATAATAACTAGTAGACAAGAAATATTAAATAGCAGATTTAAGAATTGTTCCTTAAAAATCAAAATGATTGCAATTTGCTTTTATTACCTATCATTTAATGATCTGATATCGCGAATTGTTACCACTGCTCAAAACTATAAATAATTATTTATTATCCCTTTTTAGTGAAGCGATTTTAAAATCTAAGAATTTGTTCTTCAGATTAATGTACTTGACTGACTACTTTCCTCATTAATGCAAATATAGAATTAGAAGAAAAAATCAAAAACTAATTTTTTTAACTCATTTATCAAGTTCTTATTAAACAAGCAAGCAATTAAATATTGCTCCATTTAACTTATGTTTCTCATTGAAACTTTTGCCTTCTAAGTGAAGTCATTATATGATAAATGATATGCTTTAAATATATTATCTTATTATTCGTTGTATAACTACTTGATTGTTGATTTGCTCATTAATCGAGCATCAGTAAATGGAATTCAAGAAAAAACTTGCGAGGTCTTGATATTTTATCGTATTTTAATTTTTATATCAACCGACATTAAACACCGTATTTTTTCTGATATCGTGGAAACTGTTGGCACGATCTTTTTTACGAGATGCGAGATATATGCATAATACATCTCGGCTAATTGCACCAGCTCAAGAAAGCTGGGGGACTTTAGACGATTATCCACAACCTTCGGGCGTGCAGGTCGTGACAGGTCGTCGACGATGTGAACGCCGGTCGTCCATGCAACGTTCTGTCGCTCTTAACGGGAGAGGCCGTCGGCCCCCGTCCTTGCGGAGCTAACTGTAATTCCCCGCGGATGCAGAGCAGAACTGTCGACGACCGGGAGAACTTCCTTCAAGGAGACCAATAAAAGTGAAAGTCCTTAGCATCGGCGCGGCCAGTCCCGGGTTTGCTCGGACGTGCCTAACCTACCCAATTGCGGATAAGCTCGTTACGAAAACGGAAAGAGATTGATGGGTCCCGAACAGCAGTCCGCGATCAAATACTCGGCCCGACACGTAATCGTTAGTTGAAAGAGCATAAATTGCAAAGGCGAGAGATGGCCATTTATTTTAATTATAAATATACAGTCGTTAGTTGATATAAATTGCATTTTTTTTAATAATTAGGAAATACTCCAGTTCAAAATAATTTATTTTTATAAAAATTGAACAAGTATAAATTGCAAACGCGAGAGATCGGCCATTTATTTTAATTACGAATAGTCATTAATTAATATAAATTGCATTTTTTTAATAATTGGAAAATACTATAATTTAAGAAAACACTAATTTGCTTTTATAACTAAATTCGCCCGCTATAAACAAGTTTTTAGAACTGGAAGTTGAACACGGTGTGCATTACGATTAGCTTTACAGTGGCAACACAATGAAAGCTGTACAAAAATAGTAGATGCGTCAATAATTATGT